GCCCCCCCCCCCCCTTTTTTTCTCTCGCTGCTGCTACTGGGCTCCCCGTCCACATGCACGGCTGCAGCTTCGACATGCGCACACGAGGCTCTCCCACCCACCGAAATAGGGGGCATTTCCCTCGCAGCACTCTATGCCTTTCTTCTTGCGCGGCTCAGCCCGCCAAAGCAATCCACTGCAACGCCCTTTTGCTGGGCCATGTCGGATCGATAGTAGGCCCGGCGGCTCACACACTAATGGGCATCGGACGTCTTACCGGGACAGCGACACATGCTCGCAAGGCATCAAGGAGCAAGTGAGTCGAGCCGGCGAGGCGGTGCTGATGCGGCTCCATGTGAAGATGGGATGTGCAGGCGAGGCCCGGCACCGCCCCTTCCCCCTCTTTGACGCGCGTGCGTCCTAAGCGAACCTCCCGCAGCGACAGAGCTTCACGTGCCTCGCTGGGGTTGCGAGGTTTTTCTTCGTGTGGACCCTTGTTGGTTTCGCGGTGCTGAATCTCCGATTTCACGCCTGATCTGATTCAAATCGGCAGCTCGTCACCGCCGCCAAGTTTGACGCAATCGGCGGCAGGGCGCAGCACAACATTTTTTAGAGCTCGACCGAGACACGGCCCAACGATCACGTCTTGCCAACCCACCCTCAAGCTTGCTGGCATGAAGCTCAGACTCTTCGACCACCGGCACGCATACAGCCCGGAGCTAACGTGGCAATGGTGCGTGTGTTGCCAACTGTGCGGGGGTCGCGATTCACCTGCGCAAGAGCGAGTGAGATTCGGTTGAGATGCTGCCACCACCATCACTCTGCTCCATCGTGACAATGAGCTCGTATACCGACCAAGAGTATGCGTCCGCGTCGACGGCCCCGCACAATGTGGGTGCGGTGGCAGGGACGACGCGCAAGCGCATTCACTCCATCCTGGGCAAGTCGCATTTCGTGCTTGAACCCTCGACGGTGGCGGCGCCCGTGTTCGACGCTGTCCCGCGCAATGCGTCGTTCGACACGCTGCGACCCATCCTCGCACGTCTACCACCTGCTCTCCACCCACCACACTCTGACGATGGCGATGAGGAAGAGGACGAGGGGTATGGTGGTGATCACTCGGTCATGTACACGCGCTCTCGACTCGCTTCACTCGACCAGGCGAGTGTCGAGCTCTGGCGAGCGCTGCATTCGTTCCGACCGCTCACACCGGAGTATGCGTCCGGATACGCCGTCGAGCCCCCGCACCCCGTCTCACCCACAGCGGACGCGTCAGAGTGCCCCGTGTTTGCATCGGCAACTGCCGGCTCACTAGCACGCTTGCAAGCAGCGTTCAATTGGTCAAACCTCACGCTGCGCACCGAGGTGGAGCGCGTGTGGTATGGCGTGCTCTTCCTGAGCCTGCGCAAACGCGGCTCGGAGTCGCTATCGTTTTACGAGGCGGATCGGCAGGCGCACGAGGAAGCCACGCGATCCGGAGGCCTCCTCATGTACTGGTACGGAGCGCCCCACCCCACCACGGGCGCCAACCTGGCGACGTGCATATGGACATCGCGCACCGCAGCACTCGCCGCTTCCCGCCTACCCCTTCACAAGGCCGCCGCCATCTACGCTGCCCCGAGCTACGAGCGCTACGACCTCGTACGGTACAAACTCACCAAGCGCGCCGGCGATCCACAGCTCCACCTCAGCGCCTGGACGCGTCAAGACGATCTCGCCGAACGTCGTTAGAAATACAATCCTCGTTCGCTTGGTTACTTGATCTGCGATGCATCGCCGCGTAGTGAGAGGTAGGCGTTGTCGACGCCTGGTCCGAACTGTTTGATGATCTCGTACACCTCTACCGAGTGGTAGCGGAGTGTCGACTTGGGATCCGTGTAGGGTGCCACCAGCCCTGTGACGTCGCAGTACTTTTTCGCCGGTCGTAGACTCGGTGGTGCCTCGACTGAAGAATAAGTGGGCACCTCCCTCTTGCCTTCTTCGTCCTCCTCTTCTTCCTTCAGAGCGTCTTCCTTTGGAGTGTCTTCTTCGGGTGTGGGTGTTGGTTCCTTTTCTGGTTCGGTTTTCGCCGCGCGTTCGCGTTCCTCTCTCCTAGCTACGGCCTGCAGAGCAGCTCCGACCAATCTCTTGTTTTGGACATCCTTCTTCTTGCGCTGTTTGAATTTGGCCCCTGCGGCACGCATGGCAGCCTCGCGCTCGCTCTGCAGCATCTGTTTGAGGCTCTTGTTGCGCCGCGCGAGGTTGCTCGACATCTTGGCCATGCGCGCGCTGAATTCGGCCGACTTGAAGGTGCGGGGTGCATTGTGGAACGACAGCGTCTCTGCCAGCGATGCGGGTGCAGGCGTGGCGGATGTTGATGCGGCAGCGGATCCAGCTGCTCCTGAGGAACGCGATTTAAACGCCGCCATCGTTGTAGGGAGCGTGGTGGTGGTGGTGGTCGGAGCGCAAGAGTTGGCCAAATGCCAACGGAGGGCGATTGCCAATGCGGGAGTGGTGGCCCGAGATCCGAGAAAAGGGAGGCCGTCAGGGTCCAGAATAATCGACCAATTCAAAATACAAAAACAAAAAAACAAAAAACACGCTCGGCTTCGGCAATGCACGAAGGGCGTGCGGAGTTGAACAGCGAGGCCCAAAACATGACCGTTCTTGACCAACCGCATCAAGACGAGACTCGCCTCAGCCCCCAGCACACCATGCTAGCGCATCGACTCGCCGAACAGCCCGACTGAGCAGAGCACTACAAAGTGAAAGAGAGTGCTGCTACTTCTTGAGTCTGACTCGCGCGCTGGCCGCCAGTGGTGCGGTTCGAGACCACCTCGGCTGTCCAGAGCCCGTGGCCCCTAATGCGTTCCTGACCCTCTGTCTGCCTGCACTTGCGCTCGACACTGCGAGCTTTGCAACCACCATCCCTGCTGCACAAATCCACGATGAGGCTCCCCTTCCTCCACCGCTCCAACCCTTCGCCGGAAGAAAAGCCCTCGGACCCGGTCATAGCTGTCGCGGAGGGACACGAGTCGATTCGGTTGCATGTGCACAACCGTACGCGCACCGACTTTCTCGCGCACTCGGTGTTTGGTGCGCTCCATACGGCGCCTACGACCCAGCGAGCTGTGTCGTCCAGTCTTTCTGCATCGCCGGATCCGAACAGTGGGGGGTTTGGTGTGCGCAGTACGCCGTTGCGGCTTGCGTCGGGCGGGCAGGTGCAGGTGCCACCCGTGAGGATCCAGCCGCAAACAGCCGCTGCCACCGCGGGGTATACTGTCAGCCTGACGCTCAGTCCGCGCAACACGCCCGCATACACAGCTACACTTTCGGCGCCCGCACCCACACTGCCCGTAGAGGCAAGGAACGGCTGGAAGCCTCTCAGCTTAACCTCGACAAGTGGCGGGCTGGGAAGGAAGGGGGAGGAGGTATATGCGTTGCAATCCACCGATGCAGCGACCAACACGGTGCACGTTCTGCTGCTGTCTCGCATCGATATGGCCGCATGGATGGCGACGCTACCGGACGGGGATTTGATCTCCTCGCTGTGTGTGCCGGGCACGCACGAGAGCTGTGCACTCTACGGATGGCCCATCTCGGCATGCCAGGACTCGGCCGCTTCGATAGCGTACCAGCTCTCGCGCGGGGTCCGGTTCCTCGACGTCCGTCTTGCGCTCAAGGGCAGTCCGGGATCGCAGGCGCTCTATGCCTACCACGGCGTGACCGACCAAAAGATCGAATTCTCCGCCATCCTCACCCAGGTGTATTCGTTCCTGTCGACCTCGCCGCGCGAAACGGTGCTCATGTCGGTCAAGCAGGAGAACAACATGGCCGGCTTCCTAGATGCCGTCTTTACCTACATCAACAAGAATTCCGCAGCTTGGTATTTGGCAACGGGCATTCCGAGGCTGGGCGATGTGAGAGGCAAGATCGTCTTGGTCTCGAGGTTTGGCTCGTCGAATCAGCAGCCAGGGGGCATTCATCCACCCATCTGGCCCGACTCGTCCCCCACTGCTTTTAGCTATACCCTTCCCGATGGACGCAGCGTGGTCACGCAGGACTGGTATAACATTGGATCGCTCTCTGCCATCCCCACCAAACTCGGCCTCATCTCAGCACTCCTAGCCCAAACAGGATCCAACACCGATGTGCTCGGATTGAACTTCACCAACGGATCGAGCTTTCCCATGGCTCTCCCGCCTTGGGTGGCTAAAGGCTCGGGCGACCAGTCGGCACAAAGCGCGGGCTGGATGTCGACTAGGGGTGTCAATGCTTTGCTCGTCGATTTGGTCGCGGCCAAACTCGCCAACCCGCAAGGCAAAAGAGCCGGGCTAATGAACATCTTTGCACTCGACTTTTTCGACCAGCCCGGTCTAAACGCCGACCTGGCCACACTCATCGTCCAAGCCAACTTCATCTAGCCCATGTAATACATTCTATTACTTGCTAGTGTGCAAGAAGTGCGAAGGGATCTACGCGTTCCTTACCCGGGCTCGGGCTGAGTGGGATCGCCGTGCCGTTGCCCAGATCGAGCAGCAGCACGGAGCAAAATTGTGCATGCAGATCGTCACCCTCCTCCTTGGGCGGCGACACGTGCACGTCGGCAGGGAAGCTGCGTACGGCGCTGCTGGGTGTCTCGGGCGCAAAGTTGCTCGACATCGGGCTGGACGTTAGCTCGGCCGATACGAGTCTCGGGGTGGGCACCGTTTCGCTAAGTGCATCGTCGGCGTCACCGGGTGCACCGACGTCGTATCCGGCTGGGGGACGTGGGTGCGAGTACGAGGTGCGTCGTCGTGCGCGCGACATCTCGTACGACGTCTCGCTCGTCCCGAACGTCCTGGGCGATCGAGGCGACCTAGGCAGCCGAGGCGATAGTCGCACCTCGGTAGGTGAACCAGGAACCTCATCGACAATGGGAAGCGAGCTTGCGTCAAAGTACGTCGTAGCCCGGCGTGGCGTTTCGTCCGCGCCAGGAAGGGTGAAGTTGGGCGAGGTGGGACTTTGGTCGGTACATGCCACCGAAGCACGTTGGTGAGAGGAGGGCGAGGCGAGCGGGGCGTCGGGACGGAAGGGCGACTCGAGGTTCCACTGGGGCTGCGACCAGGTGTGTGTGGGCGTGTGGTCGCTATGACCGTGCGAGGCGCCTTGTTCCGAAACGGGCGTGAGCACCGCCGGCGACGCTACGGGGGAGAGCACAGGATCCAACGAGCCGCTTTCGATCCTCTGCATACTGCTCGACTCGGCGTGGATGGCCGCAAACGGGTCGGCGATCACCAGTGCCGGTGCGGGCGAGAGCTCCGGCAGCCTGCCTACGCGTGATGGTGCACCCCAGTCGGGCAGATTCCACACAAACGCCGCGCGTCCAGACTCGCCCGAGGCGCCTTTGCTGTGTGCCTGCACCAAGGACGCGTTGCTCGTGCTGCTGTTGGCACTGCGTCGTGCCCTACCCGCATTCTGCTCGACCGCCTGCACGTCCGAGGTATACAGCGCAATCTCCTCCGTGAGCGACAGCGACACCACCGACGCCGCATCTCCCTCGCGCATGTTGCGCTCGTGATACCGCATCTGCTCGTCCTCTTCATCGAGACCGAGTGCACCGCGCATCGCCGCGCCCGAAAGACTCTTGCGCCCCACAGCGCCAAAATGCGAATGGCTCGACGACGTGGCTTGCGTCGAGATGCTGCCCTTGCGACCGTCGTGCGTCCACTGATGCGAGCCGTACAGCCATGTATCGCGAATCGCCATGGCTGCGGTCACCCCGTTGGTCGAGGGCATACCAGCCGCTTCGAGAGCATGGGATCGGTGCGAAGGAGTCAGCTCGTCCGAATCGCGCTCGCCGCGACAGACGATGCTGAGGCTACGCCGGCGTTCCGAACCGGCATCTCCGCTGAGCGTCGATGACAGACGGTGCTCGTCGATGCGCGGCGCACCCAGGTTGGCCGTCGAGCCGCGACGACCGGATGCGACGGGCTGGAGCACGCGCGTGAGCGCCGAGCTCTTGCGCCTTCCCGAAGCGAATGCCGTCGGCGCCACCACTGGCGGGGCAGCATTCTGGCCCTGCGCCGAACCCCGGCGCGCCTTCCACGCCTTGAAGATCGCCGAGGGCCTGCGGGTGTGCTGCGCGGGTGCGGGAGACGCCGCCAGCTGAGCAGGTCGACTGCTACCGCTGGAGCTTGCGGCGTCGGAGCTGGAATAGCCCGGCTCGTCATGGCTCAAACGCACTGCCGAGGAGGCAGCATTGGTGTTCATCCCAACACCGTGCAGCAGCGTCGAGATGATCGTGGCGGCCGATGGGCGGCGCGAGCTCGGGAGCGAGTCGGGCGCGTGGTAGGCGTCATCGTCCACGCTGAACGACGCCCTGCCAAAGGGATTGATCCACGAGGTGGACGCCGAGGGCTGCAGACCCGCGAGTGCATGATGGCTGCTGCTGGGCCCCAACTCGGATTCTTCGCCGTGAGCGAGAGACTTGCGCCTGCGCGAGCCGGGAATGAGCGACGGGTTCATCTTGGGCGAGAAGGGCATGGCTGCGATCTAGGCTCAGCTCGCCTTGTTGAAGAGAGAAGATGGCAGATGGTGATGGCGATAGCTAGCCCAAAAGCTCAGCAAGTGTTGTCGAGATGGTGGCTAGGTGGAGAGGATGCTCGCGAGATGATGAAGAGGGGATGATGAAGTACGAGCTGCGGGAGAGAGACGTGGGATCTGCACGAGCAGCTCGCTTGTAGGATGACAGGCGTAAGCGAGCGTCACGAGGCCGGGCGTCGAGCGACAACGGAACGGGCAGCAGCGGCTCTGGGTGGGCTATGAGCCGCCGACGGAGATAGCGCGGGGACAATGACGACCTGGAGACCCCAGGGTGCGAGTTTGGCGTAGCCGATGGAAGCAGCGTGAGCAAGTGTCTCGCCTGGGCCGAGCTAGGACGGATGCGTACGATGGTGTGAGCGACTTGCTTTCGCGGCTGTACCGAGCTGCGAGGCGGCTTAAGCGCACGGGAGTACCAAGCCTAGGTGGTGCGGGTGTGCAGTTTGTGTGTCGCTTGTGCATGTGCATACGCCAGCCCTGCACGGCGCAGCAAGGTATTGAACGGGGGAATAAGGAGGGATAGATGGGGGAGCGGAAGCAAGAAGGCGTTGGCGACGATGCCGGATGCAGACGAGGTGTCGTTGGGCAGAGGCTAGATTGCTTTCCACAGTGGAGGCTTCGACGAGGACGAGGAGGCAGCAGGAAGCGGCGATCGCTGGGAAGCGGTGTGCGGCGGGCGGGTACCAAAAGAAGCGCCTGTCTCGGCTGGAGCGTAAGCTAGGTTGTCGTGCAGCCACGGACGGACAGACGGAGGGATGCAGCGTCCGATGCGGGGCCGTCGTGAGGACGGTTGCGGCGGGCATGCTTGGGGAGCCACACTTCTCTCACGCCGGGCGTGCGAATGGTGCTGAATCGGGTCGGAGCATGAAATCGACCCAAGTACCAACGAGAGAAATCCAGCAGGCGCAGGGCGAGCGAGCGGCTTCCAAAGCTGCTGCAAAGCTGCTGGATAGCGGCGTAGTTGTGGGCGCAAATAGACAGTTTTTCTCTTTTTCAGAGTGGCCGCTTTGAGCCGCTCTCGCTCTCTCTCGCTCTCTCTCGCTCTCTCTCGCTCGTCGGCCTCGTGGGAGGAGCGAGGGAAGTGATTCAGGCACGATTGGCTCGAATTCAGGCACACACGCGCGAGCGCGCTAAAATTCGATCCAATTCGGCGCTCCACCGGGCTGTGGGAAATCTCGAAATCTCGGCGAGGCGCACTCAACTCCCACGCTACACCATTCCCATCATCAGCCGGTCCCTGTCCTACTCCTTCCGTCTCATCCTCACGCCTACGAGCGCCAATCTAACTTTGTAGCACCTCGATTCAAAAAAGGAGAGTGATGGACGCCGAAAGAGTATGTGGAAGCGACGGCGCATGAATTTGGGGGCGCTTGGTGTGGGTCTTTGGCGTGGGCTCGGAGAATGAATTTCGAAAAATCATGTTTTCCCGTCCGGTGTTCTCTGGTTGCTGAGAATGGACGCCCGTCGGATGCAGGCCTTCCAAGACAATGTGCCACTTCTCCAGCTGCGGATGCGGCCTTGGCCTTTGAGAAAAACGACGCTCGGCCTTCGCGTGGGCCTCCTTGCCTCGGTGCAACGCGGCCGCATCGGTGGAGCAGAATCTCGATCGAATCGAGGAGCGCTGCTAAGCGACCTGTCGCTCGGATCTCGCTTAGCCGCGCATCAACAGCCACATGTCCAAGCCGCTTCCATGCTGTCCCCCTCCCGTCCTTGGCTCGCATCCAGCTTCGAACCTCTTCGATCTCGGACGGCACAACAGAGGCGTGTGGATGGCACATTATCTCAACATGGCATCCACCACTAGCACGGCCCGGCCTGAACCCTCATCGCGAGCCATGCGCCACACGCCATACGAATCGGGAAAAGTGAGGAATCAATTTCATCTTTGTTTAGGCGGTTTTGCATTGTTTTTGAAGCTCCTCTCGAGGTGTTTTCACTTGCTGATGGAAGCGCAAGCGCAAGCGCGTCTCGCGGCACTTTATGTTGATCCGCTCTTCGCCCTGTATCGGATCGACGTCGGATCGGCTTTTGTCTTGGCAGCAGAATCAACCATCGTATGCCGGTCAACTTTCCACGCACGCTGCAGTCCGAACGTCATGACGCTCGGCGTGGGGTGGACGCGTGATCGTCATCGTGCAGCGTCTCGCCGAACGCGACGCGTGCGCGCGCCATCAGACCCTGAATCCACACCCGCCTTTTGGGCTCTAGTGGATAGGATGCTTGTCTACTGCCAAAGCGTCAGCCACAACTCGCGCCAAGACACAAGGACAGGTCACTTACTCAGGAAGTCTTCGAGCTCCGAGATCAGCGCAGGTACCTTGGCCTGTAAATGCAACAGTGTGTGAGCGCGTTGTTGTCGACATGGATCGTCGCGCTATGACTTACCGAACATTCCGCCTCGTCCCGTCCAACCTATCTCAAGGCTACAGGTGTCAGTAGTTGGACCGTGGCTGAAGGAGGGAGAAGTGGCGCGCTTACTGCACGGGAAACTACATCCCAAGCCAAGTCGTACTTGCGCGGAAACACCTCGTGGAACAACAGCATCATCTCCTAACCCCGATCAACACGTCAGTTACCTGTGTAAGATGTGGCGAAGTTGCACCGGGGGGGAACTTACTTCGCGGGTCCAGTGTCCCGTCTACAAGCACAGAGCAGTTAGCAAATGATCACGCCGAGACAATGAGGTTGGGGGACGTACCTTTTTGGTGGGCTTGGCACGGCTAGCCTTTTTCGGCGAAGTCGTCTTGGGCGAGCTCGTCGATCCAGTCGCCGGTACAGGCTGCTGGGCCGCCTCGCTCTCAGGCGCCTCACTTTGAGCGGACTCGGTGGCGGGCGGTGCGGGCTTGGGCTTCCGCTTGTGCGTCTTCTCTTGCGGCACGGGCGTGGCAGTGGCCGCGATGGCCTGGACGATGCTCTCGCCCATGTTCGTCGCCACCTCGCTCGGTGAGGGGACGCTGAGCTGCGACAGCGTGCGCTTGCGCTTCGTGGGCCTGGACTCGGGCGACGGGGAGGAGGGCGAAGATTTGGTCGGCAGGCTGCCCGGAGAGCTTGCAGGTGTGCTGGTCCTCGTACCGCCGCTGCTCGTGCCGGCGCTGCTGGGCGAGCTGAAGGAGCTCGAGGGACGTTCGTTGCGAGGCGTACAGGGTGGGGTGGATCCACCTCGACCACGGCCGCGACCGCGACCACCGCCCCGACCGCGGGTCGAGGTACCCCGGACAGCTTCCTTCGGCGTCTCGACGAGGAGGGTCGCCGGGCCTGGGGTCGTCTCGATCGGGGTGGCTGCCGGGCGTTGAGTCGAAGGCGGAAGCAAGACTTTTTCGACCTCCGAGTCCGTATCAATCTCAACGGGAAAATCGGCTGCTTGAGCGGGGGGTACCTCGTCGTCCTCGTTGCTGCTAGCGTCGTTGTCGCTCTCGTCGGACTCGTCGCTATCCTCTCGCGAGGGAGGCGCAGTGGGACAGGTGGCCATCGGCGGCTCTTCGTCCGAGGAATGGTCCGAGGAATAGGCAAGATTCACGAGGTCCTCGATGTCGAATCCCTCCGACTCGTCGTCGCGGTACGAGTTCATCAAGTCCTCCATATCGAAAAGTTGCCTGCTTGGATCTAGACTCTAGGGTCGAGTGGGAAGAACGCAAGAACGGTGCGGAACAGCGATCCCATTAGTAGCCCTCGGACACAGGTGCGGGCCAGAGGTGCGGAAGATCAAAGTGCGGAATGTGCGGAACGCAATTTTCGACACAAAGCAAACACAAGACACGCTTTAAGCTTTGCATCACACCCGCATCGCTCCGCCACGGCACGGAAAGGTTGTTCGTCATTGTGATTGCCAAAGTGATGGATGTGTACGAGCCTAAGGGTGAAGGGGCATCTAGAGGTCCTGGCCGTCGAGCCAGCGGTTGAGCATGGCAAGCGCGGCATCGGGCTGGTCGTACGGCACCATGTGGCCAGCCTCGTACACGGTAGCCCAGGTCAGCCCACCGCCACTCTGTGTTCGGCCCGCCTCCTTGCCATCCACAACCCATTCCTATCCACCGCACAAACAGCAACAAGTCAGTACATGCAATCAACAACGAGCAAGAGAGTGTGGGTGCTTACGTAGTTCTTGGCGGATTGGAAGTGGGCGTTGGCGCTCCAGTCGAGGGTCTTGACCCACTCGTAGTTGCCGTTGTGGTTGCAGATCCAGTCGAGCGTTCCGACGTATACGAGCGCACGCAGGCCTCGCTCGAGCAGAGCCGCCACATTGTAGCCGTTGTCATGAATCGAATCAAGCATCCTGTTGAAGCCATCACTGACATCGTCACTGCAGCTGGCAAACTTGCCGATCTGCTCCTTGGGTGCCGCACCCACGAGCTCGCGCACATCATCACGGTCGAGATACTTGCGGATGTCGTCCGTGACATCGTAGCAGAGGTTCGGCGAGAGACCCGACTTGCAATCGTCCTTGATGTTGTACGGGTTCTGTCCGGTGTAGAAATAGGGTGCCTGGATCTCCTCGATGCACTTGTTGGTCCACATGTCGCAGGCGTCTGGGTTGTATATGTCGATACAGTGCTCTGCTAGCAGCTTGCGACACTTGGGCACCCAGTTAGCCATGCGTTTGCACGTGTCGATGCTGAGAATCGGGGCCACACCGCCGCGGCGCGTGCACGTCATGTCGTAGTAGCCCGACATCTGTTTGCTGACATCCGTGAGGCCGTTGCCGATCAAGACGCCCTTGAGGTTGATCAGTTCGTCGCGGCTGGGCTTCTTGCCCGCCTTGAGCGCGGCGCGCTCGATGTCGTGGTTGCGGTCTGCCACTTCCGACGCAAAGATCGGGATGTAGCGTCCACCGTACGACTCTCCAGCCATGTAAAAGTCGTTGGATCGGAAGCGGTCGAATGCCGAGAAGAAGACGCGGAGGAAGGCGTAGACGTCGCGAGCAGCCTCTTCGGTCGTGTACACCTTCTGCTCGGTCTTGGAGTAGGAGTAGCCTACGCCGACGGGCTGGTCGATGAAAAACACGTTGGCGCGGTTGGTCCACGACTGCGGATGCCAGCGCGTGCCGTTGATGGGTGGACCGGGCGAGAGCTTGCCTCCGTTTTCGGGGATGCGGCACGGTCCAAGCTCCATGAAGAGGCCGAGCGACGACGAGCAACCGGGTCCACCGTTGGTCCAGAGGATCACGGGATCCTTGGCTGGGTCCGAACGCGACTCGAAAAAGTAGAACCACAGCGACTTGCCGCCGTAGGCCGTGTCGATGTATCCGGACCACGAGGTGACCGTAGGGTCGCAGAACGCGTCCGGGTCCACGTCGTGGCCCTTGAGCTCCGACGCGGGCGGAGGCGCATACAGCTGCTTGATGCGCACCGCCACCGAGGGGAAGTCGCGATGCGTCAGCACCGTAAACTCACCCTTCTGCGAGGCGATGATCTGCTCAGCCTTGGCCGAACCGAATGCAGCCGTCGAGATGGCGTCCAGGGGAAGCTCGACGCGCGCAGGGCCGCCGAGTCCCGACGACGACGTGAGCAGCGCATCCAGCTGCGCCTGTGCACTGCCCGCAGCAGCAGCGCGTGCATCGTCGGTCTCGAGGTAGCTGCCCGGGTGCGAGGGCGCGTAGCGAGAGTTGGTGCGAGCGCCAACGCCCATCTGGATCTGTCCGGCGTCGATGCTGGCCGCCGACACGGTGGCAGCAAGCAGTGCGCCGAGGCACGAGAGGAATGCAAGCCCGCGCATCTTGACTCTTTTCTTCTGTCAGCGACAAGTGTAAATCAGCGGTCAGGATGGTGAAAGTGAGAGAGACGAAGACGGCTGAGGCGGGGAGGCGGCCCGAGATAAGACACTGGATTGGCTCAGCGAAAGAGATGCAACGGA